AACAACAACAACAACAAAAGTGTCCGAATGTGAGTTCCATCTTTACGTTTGAACCCGTTAAGGAAGCATTTAGTAATGCTACCAGGAGAATCCTGGCTTGTAATATTGCTGTGGAATTTCCAGCGGTGAATTGTATCAATTTTTGGTTATTTAAACCTTAGTGTTATCTGAGTGGCGGGTATCGTTCCGTTCTTAAAGAGAGTTTAACCACCCATACACTTGAGTTTTTTTCCGTAATGCTGTCCTTGCAAGCTGTGTTCAACATCACAACCGTTTCTGCAGCATTTTTCCTGAGCAAGAAACAAAATTTCACAGCTATACACTGTTCTCTTAAATTGTTCATCACAAAAAATGAGGGTAGAGCAAAACTGCTTTTACAAAAAAAAATCCATTGTGACCAGAGAGAACCTTTCCAGGTAACGCCACTGGATGTACTAATTCAGAGCAAATTGCTCAATGCTCGCTTAGAAGGGAAAATGCGTACTAAGAAATCTCTGTCCAGTGGAGTTTTTTCCTGTCGTTGGGGGGTAGCCCCTCATATGAAGAATAATATGACAGAAGATTGGAGGAAGACTCACTAATAACTTGCAGCATACAGGTGACACAGTCTTGCTTGCAGGAAGTCAAGAGGATGTGAAGTACTTGTTGATGAAGATCAAAACCCACAGTCTTAAGTTTGGGGTATGTTTCAACGTAATGAAAACAAAGATGGACAACTGGACCAATAGACAACATTATGATAACCAGAGGAATATTGAAGTTATCCAGGATTTCATTTTACTTAGATCCACAGCAAACTCCCGGGAAGCAGCAGTCAATAAACCAAACTACATATTGCGTTGGACAGATCTGCATTAGATCTATTTAAAGCGTTGAGAAGCAAAGCTGTCAGTTTGAGGACTAGGCACTATCTAGAGAAGCAAAACCAGGGACAATTACATAAAACATGTAGACCAAGGAAATAGCTGGCACCATTGCAGAAGCAGATAAGACTAGTCTCTTTCGAGTCTGTGGGTCAGATGGTACACTGGAGGCTTTTCCTGATTCAGGGGGCTGGCAAGCCAGGAAGCAGGAAGACCACAGGCAGAGGTGGATGAATCCAAGGTCAAGATTTTGGCTGCAGAATCGGATGAATCCTAGGTTGGCAGGTAATATGGCAGGCCACTAGGGTCAGCAGGCAATTTAGTC